AAACCCTCTCATTAGGATATAGAGAAGGTTTTGGAGGCATTTCAAGACTTTCAACATCCTCGGTTTCTAACATCTCTATTACCTTATTCATTGAAGGGCGATCAATAGGTTTTAGTTGTATACACCAAAGTGCTACTATAATCATTTTCTTTGCCAAATTCTTTTCCACCTCTGTTAAATCTTCCATTTCTATGTCCCTCTCTTCATTGAATTGGTCATAAATCCATAAAGGAAAGTAAGCTTCACTTGAATCTTCTGCATCTTGATTCATATTTCTTCTTCGACTTGCCATTTCCATAAAAAACATTCCAAAACTATAAACATCAGCCTTATAAGACACTCCTCCAATATTCTTGTAGAATAACTCAGGAGCCATATATCCTATTGTTCCTCTTGCTGCAGTCAAGGTGACAATACTATCATCAATCGCATACAATCTCGCTAGTCCAAAATTTGAAATCTTTGGGTTAAAGTCATCATCAAGAAGAATGTTATGAGGCTTGATATCAAAATGTAATATCTGCATGTCACAACCATGATGAAGGTAGGCAATCCCACGAGCTATCTCCAAAGATATCTCATATACTTTATGATAGCTCAAGGAGAAATTCCCTTTGAAAAAAATAACTTTATCCAAAGATCCCTTTGACATAAACTCATAGACAAGAGCACGCTTCGTTCCTTCTATACAAAACCCAACAAGATGTACCACATTAAAATGATGTATCCTACCAATAGTTGCAACTTCATTGATAAATTCTTGATCATTAGTTTTGGAGTCACCCAAAGGCCAACATTTTGATAGCAACCATAGGTCCACTCCTTAGCTTCCCTTTATACACAGTGCCAAAGCCTCCTTGACCCAACTTATTCTTAAAACCTTCGCTCATTTTCTTCAGATCCTTGTAGGAATACCTTATTGGGATGAGATTTTGAAGTCTTATGAAATCTTCGATGTTTTCATACATTGATAAGTGTCTTCTGCGAAATATATAAATCAACAGTGTTGATAGGAATATGGTGCCCAAGAAAAATCTGACAGTGATGTATGGCACAAAACCTCTTCCAGTGATTATCCCTAATATGATTGCAACGTTTGTTAGACTAAAATCATAGTCTTCATGGTGAGGGTCTATATCTTTCCCCACCACTTGACTTAGTCCTGGACATGTAGAAGCAATGGAATTGATTAGGAACAAGAGTTTGATTAGTTGGATAAAAGTAATGAAACTATATGAAACTAAGTTTAAATCAAGCTTAATTGATCCTTCTGATTCAAAATATAGAATAATTTTAAGGATAAAGTTCTAATTCATAATATAAGTTATCTACATAGTTATTAATTTTCATTTTGTAATTTCACCTCTATTTATTTATTGGCACATATTGAGTATAAAAAAGGATGATAGAGGTGAGAAGAATTTTAATAAAGAGGAATTAAAGTTATTTTTTTAATTTGAGACAGATTTAATGATTAACCATTCATCCTTCATTCCAGTAAAGTGATTAAAAATAACTTATATTTTGAATCGGAAAGATTATTTCTTTAAACTAAGACCTAATATAATTACGAAATGATCGTTGAAATATAATTAAAAAAATCTGTTAAACTTTAAAATGTGACAAGATAGTAATTGAACACTAAATACTACTTTGGGGCATGCATCACCAAACAATTCTATTAAACTTTGAATTCTGACAAAATGCATGCCCGGGAGAGGATGTGGAGGCATGCGTCACAAAATTTTAAGGATATAGCAAAAGAAGAAAAAGAAGAAAAATCTACCAAAAGTAGAAAGATCACATACTACCTCCGGTCCTAATCTATGAATGGGATCTTAGAATTATGAACGGATATAGTATATTTTAACTTGTTATAATTACCTATAGCTTTAGAAAGCTGGATAATTAATTACTCCAGTCAACGGAAAATAATATCACTCTTGCGATCGGATCGATGCATTAATTTCTTATGTACCCAAAGAGAGAATAATAAAAAATTATTTGAGGTGGTTTGTATATTGACAAAAAAGGTTATTAGAAGTGCGGGAATAGTATATCAGACTGTATGGACTTCGTCAAAAAAGCAAGGATAGAAAAAAAAAAAAAACAGAACACTTGATAAAATTATTGATAATGAGACCTTTTAGCTTACAATTTATAATCCACCAAAGTGGTTCAACTATATTAATGCTCTTCGATTCATGTTGTCCTAATAAATATGATTCTTGAAATTCATAGCATTGGAGGACAATATTGTCATGATATGGAGAAGTAAGGGCAAAATGGGAATGTGAATTTTGTTTTGGAGAAGAGGAAGTTACGTACAACTCAAAAGTCAAAATAAAATACATTTCAATAATATCCTTCACAACTAAATATATTTCACTTTTATCACTTTATTTTTCTATTCAATCTATTAAAATGTCAATATATGTCACTATTCTCTTTCATTCCATTCATAAAAAGACTCATCATCATGATGTACTAGAAAAAGTTAAAGAAAAATATGGCACAAATTATAAGTTAAAAAAATAAATTAAAATTAAACACTAACCAAGAAAACAAATAATAATTAAATAGTAAGATTATGAAGAAACGAGCGAAACTTACCTTTTTGAAATCCGTAGAGGTAATCTGAAAGAAAACATCGCCAAAGTCAACAACGGCAGGCGAGGCATAGATTTAAAAAAGGACTACAGAAAAGAAAGGTTAAACAGCAACGGTCAAATCACTAATTCATGGTCAAATGGTTGAACTATGGTCAGTGGTCAAACCAATTATAATTGAATTAATATTTGTTTCAACTATTTAATAACCATTAAGACTAAGTAAGAATATCAACAAAAATATAAAAAGTAATCAAGAAAGGAAAAAAAAAAAACATGATAACCCTTGCCTTCTGCCAATATGCGCAGCTTTGTTAACTGATCTGCATCACACAAAAATAAAACATGATTTTAATTCAAAGCTCAGCGGGAGAATTATATGCATATAATTAAGGTACGTAAAGAGATAAGTAATTAATTTATAAATACTAAAAAAATAATTAAACTTATTATTTATTAAAAATGTTTGTGGATTTCCATAAAATATTATATCATTTGTTTGGAATTATTTTTAATAAAAACTCCCTTTATACAATATTTGTGGATAAAGAAGAAAAAATTTATAAATTTAGAAGCATAATAAATTGATGTTTTATATTCAAGATGAAATTAAACTTATTAACTAATTTCTATATATATGTATGATTAGATGGAGTATTTAACAAATTAGTTTTGCTATTAATTAAAAAATTAGTACTTTTCTGGTATAAGATTTATTTAACTAATTTGATTAGATTAAAGAAGTTAGGTAAGTTAGTTAATTATAAGAAATATAACATATTTTTTTTAAAATACTAAAATCATCTTTAATATCCTATCTCCTTTTTCTATTTGAATATAATTGAAAAAGTATTCATAAAAATAATTTATAAATATTAAAAAAATAATTTTTATATTTATAATTAAAATTAACTCAACAAGGTATTTTATTCCAAAAATTGTTAAATCTAAATTTAAAGCAGAAAGGAAAGTGGCTTACTGCATAAAATTCCGCTATGCACAGTTATTCCCATGGGACTGTAACAGGACGAGAAATCCCGAGCGCATTGGAGCCTGAGAGTTTCGCGGTTCAAAGAGCAGAAACTGGAAATGGGACAACTATGATCAACACAAGCTCGTTTCCACCACAAAACCTCGAATCCATTGGAAAGCACTCTGTGAATTTCGGCGTATGACTTGATTCCACCGCCTACCTGTGAATCCCAATCTAATGAAATGGTGGCCACCGATTTCACTCGACATTGAGGTTTTAACTCCTTAACCAGTAAATCTCCCGCTAATGCATACACATGACCTCCTCCTTTGGATTCCCAATTCACGCATGGAGATGTATCGAGGTATGATGTGTCATCCCTCACTGGATCGCTGCAGTTCAGGTACACAACGTGTTTGAATGAAACTTCTAATCCTATTCGCTTCAGATTTGCGCCGTAGGGATTAGTGCTATCGTATTCCATGTTTAAGAGGTAAGTTTCGGTGAAATTGGATTGGGATAAGGAATAGCGAGGGAGGGAGGAACAATTACCCGCCTGAATGCCAGGATCTACGAGTCGGATTGTATAGTTGTTGTAGTTTATTGCCAGTACTCTGTATGTTCCGTTATACAAATGAACAAGAGTGACGTTGTTTTCGCAGGCTAGCTCGAATTTGGGGTCGCCGCAGTTGGCTGGGTCATCTCGAAGGCGAAATGGATATGAGATGTTTGTGATAATGCCGCACCGAGACGGAGGACAGGGTTTGTTCTGCTCTTGAGAACTCGTAACACCGAGCGTTAGAAGCAGACTGAACGAGGCCAAATACCAACACTTCAAGCCTTTCTTTCCCATCGTTGAGAATGATGTGCAGCTGCTCCACCTCTGGATTCTGATCATCTTCATTTAATCGTCTACTTTTCATAGCTCTATCCCTTTTTTTTTTAATTTTTTAATATATATATTGAAGACTAAATCTCCTTTGACTTTTCTTGCTGCTGCAGGCGGCTAATTAATGAGTTTTCTTTACATCGATGATATTTGAAAATGACATGCAGCTACTTTTTACTTTTCTTCCGGCTTAACGCGGTTAATTTGTATACCTCCCCCAAAGTTGACATGAAATTTCTGTTTGACTGATGGCTTTTCTTAACATCCTTATTTGCCAGACTTTATTTTTGTCCGACTGATTATTTTTGCTTGCATCTTTCTTGGTCAGCTGGTAGGATACGTAAATAGCACCAGAGCATACAATTTAGGAAAGCAAACACCTTCCAAGTTCCTTCCGCTTCCCCTGCTTTCATTTAATTAGACATGCCACTGCCTAATACCTAGGAATCTGAATCCGAGTTTTTTCAAGAGAAAACAAACATCTTTTTTTACCATGATTTACTATCACAGATTTTTGTTGTCGGTGTTGCTTCTGAAACTGGGGAATGGTCAGAACCAGCATTTGCCTGATGATGAAATTGTTCCATTTCATCTCAAGGGGACGATGGTTGAGTTCCCGTCTATTCCTGCTCTCAAACGAGAAACCTTCGCCGTCAATAACATATACAACGAATCCCACTTCCTACACATGTCCTTACGTGATCCAAAACGTTGTCTTCCCAGACTCTTTCTAGAACGTCGTCTCTACAATTCATCCAATATTGGTCCTTTGGAGTATGATAATTTTAATGTGACCGAAAATGTTACTTTCTTCAATTGTTCTTCAATTGGTTCGAGACGCCTCAGAAACATAAATATGGAACAAGATATGATTGTCTGCCCCATTTTTGCTGCTTCCTCCGAAGATAGTGTCCTGGAGTGGGACCTAGCTTCTTGCACTATGATGTTTCAGCTAGCTTCGCCAATACGAGCAGATCAGCTTCGGGCGAACTACTTGCCACTCAGGTTGCCTCAGACAAAATCTGACATTGAAAAGCACAAAACTAGCATGATTCTTATAATTGTTTTACCAGGTGACTTTGCTTTCCCTCTATATTTTCTTTTTCTAATTTGTTTGTGGGACGTTCCTCTGATTGAATTTGGATGTTCAACTCTAGGGTCATTTGTACTGGTGGTGTTGTTCATTGTAAGCCTTTACATATATCGCCACTTCAAGAAGAGGGGGGAAGATCAAGTAAGATTGGAAAAGTTTTTGGAAGATTACAAGGCAATGAAGCCTACTAGATTCTCTTATGCTGATCTCAAAAGAATTACAAACCATTTCAAGGGTAAAGTAGGTGAAGGAGCTCATGGAACTGTCTTTAAAGGTAAGCTATCTTCTGAAATTCAAGTGGCTGTAAAAGTACTTAATAATGCAGAAAACGATGGACAAGACTTCATTAATGAAATTGGGACTATGGGCAAAATCCATCACATCAATATTGTTCGTTTGCTAGGCTTTTGTGCTTATGGTTTTCACCGTGCTCTTGTATATGAGTTTTTCCCTAACGGTTCACTTCAGAAGTTCATATCTTCCCCTGACGACAAAGAAAATTTCATTGGATGGCTAAAGTTACAACAACTAGCCCTTGGCATAGCAAGAGGGATTGAGTACCTTCACCAAGGTTGTGATTATCGAATTCTTCACTTTGACATCAATCCTCATAATGTGTTATTAGATCATAATTTCATTCCTAAAATTTCTGATTTTGGTTTAGCCAAATTATGTTCTAAAAATCAAAGTACAGTGTCAATGACGGCAGCTAGAGGAACTTTAGGTTATATTGCACCTGAAGTTTACTCTCGAAACTTTGGGAATGTATCATATAAATCAGACGTTTATAGTTATGGAATGTTACTGCTAGAGATGGTTGGAGGAAGAAAAAATGTTGACACAAATCAAGACACTTTTCAAGTTCTGTACCCAGAATGGATTCATAATTTGATTGAAGGAGGAGATATAAATATCTATTTGGAGGAAGATGATGATATTAGAATTGCAAAGAAACTAGCAATTGTAGGGCTTTGGTGTATTCAGTGGCATCCAATAAACCGGCCATCCATGAAAATGGTGATACAGATGTTAGAAGGAGAAGTAGATAAATTAAAGGTGCCTCCTACTCCATTTGACACTGCTACTTCAATCATTACAAGAACCATTATTCCTGCAAGACATCTGAAATCTGAGTTGGAAGCGATTCATGAATTAGAATGAACACATCACTTGCTGGTTTGCCAAACGCATGCTATTGCTGAGATCTTACTAGCAACTAGTAATTAGTTGTACCTTCTCTGTTCTTGAACCCGTGCGTCGTATTTTGATAGGATTTGTATTAATTTCGCCAAACTCATGCCTCCATTGACAACATTTGTAAGGTTCTCTTTCTTGGCCAGCAATTTTTGAGATCTGTAATGCTAGTCTTCATGTTCAGTCTATAAATGAATCCTTTCATTTTCTATGCACCAATCTATTTATGTTTTCTATTTAAGATAATGATCTTTCACATAGCGTCGCCAAATTATTGTGGTGAATAACAGAATACAAAATAGGTTCTTGTTTATAGCAAGATTTAGAAACTCTACCCACACCTCATTCTACTTTTACCATCTAATTATCCTCATGTGGATTTGTTTATATCAAAAAATTTAAATCTAATATATCATGACATTCGTGCTCCAGAATGAAACAGGTTCCCTAAATATTTTTGAGCGACACCTTTTAAGAAACTTGAAAATTACTGTGTTTTAATGTAAAACTTGTTTGAGTTTTTTGCAGCTGCCTTTTTCATTCCTTAAAATGTCTTTCTTCATATGTGTGACTAACTTGAACGACGACGCCATAGAATGAGAAGAGACAAAGTGTATTTTTCATATGCATAATCCTTAGGATAAAAGTAGAAATATAATAAGAACGATGTTATATACATAAACATTAATTTCACCAGGAAAAGAATTCAAACGATGTTATATACATAAACATTAATTTCTCCAGGAAAAGAATTGAAGTGCAGAAAGATGATGTTTTCTTCGGAGGAGAGTAATTTATAGGGGTTCCTAACATAGCAATCATCAATACATAAATATAAATCTTGAAGTCATTGAATATAAATATAAAACATTAAATCAATTTGAATATCAACATCAATCAATATAACAAAAAATGAAGTCACATTATTTTTTAAAAAATATAAAAAAGTAAATGATGCTGCCCATATTCTTTTGTTGTCTCAAGACGGACAGTCTGGACATTGCCTTGTATCCTTTGCTAAAGGAATACCTTGGTGTATCACTTTCGAGCCTCTTAGTTAATCTACACGAAAGCTTTAAAAGGGGTTTCTTTTTGGCATCAAGTGGGAAATACTGCTGCTCAGATGAATCTGCCTTTTATTGTCATTGGTTATTTTAATGATATAAAAGGTGGGATTTCGCCTCAGCAATTCAGCATGATCGTTAATTGACCGTTAACGAGGATTGAAGATTATTGGAGATTCATTCCTATACTTACAAATTCACTTGAAAAGGGCCTTTGTTTACGCAATGACCTTTTCTGAGGGTGTTGGCTTGCTCTGACCTTTTCAGAAAAGAGGTTGCTGGTCTTTTAGATTTGAAGCTGCTTGGCTTTGTCGATGATCAGAATGATCATTTCTTGAAGGAGAAAGGGAGGTAATGTGAGACAGAATTTAGAATACTTACAAGGAAACCTAGAACAGTTGAACAGAGAGTGTGTTTCAGAATGTTCATGGCAAGAACCAACGCCTGATCGCCAAAATGACTCCTTTGAGAATAAAGAAAGAGGAAATTAATTTGGTTTCAGAAAAGAATGTGGAAACCGAATATGGATTGGGAATAATGTTACGAGAAAGAGTTCACAGTGAAATAGTCATTGTACATATCACTTCTGGTCACCAACTAAATATATTGTCAAAAATACAAATTAATAAGTTCTTTACGGAGTATTATTTCTGGTCGCTTCTTGCTTGCTCACCTAGATCGTAATGAGAACTTATGGAGAATGAAGATGTTGTTTGGTCAAAGTTCGGTCCGTCATCTTCAGGATATATTGAAGGCTTTGGAGGCATTTCAAGACTTTCAATATCATCTACTTCCAGCATCTTTATTACTTTGTTCATTGAAGGGTGAGCAGCAGATTAAACTGAATGCATCATAACGCTACTATGAACATTTTCTTTGCCAAAACCTTTTCCTCTTCTGTCAAATCATCCATTTCTATATCTTTCTCTTCGTCAAATTGGTCATGAATCCATGATAGAAAATATACTTGGCTTGAATGCTCTACATGTGGATTCATGTTTCTTCTGCGGCTGGCCATTTCCATTAAGAGCATTTCAAAACTGTAAACATCAGCTTTATATGACACTTTCCCCCTAATATTCTTGTAGAATAATTCAGGAGCCATGTATCCTATTATTCCTCTTGCTAGAGTTAAAGTGGCAATACTATCATTGGTAAAATACAACCTTACTAGTCCAAAATCCAAAATTTTTTGATTCAGGTTGTCATCAAGAAGAATATTATGAGGCTTGATATCAAAATGTAATATTTGCATGTCATAGCCATGATGAAGGTAGGCTATGCCACAAGCCACTTCTAAAGATATCTCATATATTTTGCAATAACTTAAAAAGACACTTCCTTCTTTAGAATTTTATCCAAAGATCCATTAGACATTGATTCATAAATAAGAGCACGTTTAGTTCCTTCCACACAAAAACTAAAAAGACGTACCACATTGAAATGGTGTATCCTTCCGATAGTTGCCACTTCATTGATAAATTCCTGGCCAGTAGCCTTGGATTTGCCCAGCATTTTGATTGCAACTTCAGATCCACTCCTTAGCTTGCCTTTGTACACAGTGCCGAAGCCTCCTTCACCAATCTTATTGTTGAAACCCTTGGTCACTGACTTTAATTCCTTGTAGGAGTACCTTATTGGATGAAGGTTATAAAGTCGTATGAAATCTTCAATGCTTTCATAGCCTGATAAGTGTCTTCTCCGATATGTGTAAATTAACAAGATGAACAGAAATAATATACCAACTATAAATCTTAGAATAGTGCATCGCAAAACATATCTTCCTGTGATTTTTCCTAAGGCAAATGCAACTGGTGTTGAAATCAAATCGCCATCATGTTTACCCCAGAATCAAAGTAAATCGTCGAATACACATCCGCTGCAACTGCACGTGTATATATTGAAATCTTAGAATAATGGGTGGCAAAACATATGCTGTGACTTCTCCTAAGGCAAAGGCAGCTGGTATTGAAATGAAGTCGCCACCATCTTTTTCGCCAGACTCGGAGTCCATGATCGTCAAATAAACATCCTCTGAAACTGCACGTTTATATTTCCAAAAATTAAAGTTCGTAAAATTGGTTTGTCCCCAAAATGTGATTAACAAAAAAAAAAAGTCACTCAAAAGAAAATGTAAAAATTAGTCAAAACTTTCTGGTTGGAAACTTAATCGTGCAGACGCACCTGACATTTGTTTAAAGATCCAAAAGCGGCCTATTTTCACGGAGCACAATTCTTCTTCAGCTGTAGAGGTGCACCCCCTCAAGGACCCGAGTCCTTAGGTGCCTTGCACATTTAATTTTCTAACCAGGTTTTTTTTTTACCAATTTTCAAAGAGAATTATTTTGTCAAATCAAAATCGATAGATACATACACATATATATCAAACTCAAAGAAAGACACAATATTCATACGCGAGTTACAAACATATAGTATTGTCTCTGGTCCTAATTATAAGACCTCGTTTGTAGTTTAAAAATGAGATCTTATAATTAAGATTGGAAGCAGTACAATTTACATATTAGACATTGTGTGAAACATGGACTCACAAAATAATTTAAGGAAAGTCTTTTTTTTTTGGCAATAACTATGCAGAATTTATTATTTATGATTAAAATACGATAACTAACATAATTTAATTTTTCATAATTATATGTAATATAACACACGGGCACATATATTCAGCCTACTCAACTTATGAATATATAGTTATAATGCATTTAATATCAAGACCAGGTAAACTTTTTTCTTTGGTCAAAGAACTATACAAGAATTCACAAGTGTTTTTTTTTTTTTTAAAGAAAAACTTTAAGAACAGGTATGGTTATAATGCATTTATTTTCACAATATAACACTGAATTGAGGTAAAAAAACACACTAAAAAAACACACGCGCATATTAGAAAATAAGGCTTGGCTATCATGTATTCTCCTTAATTTGTTTATAAATAAATGATATCATGTGTTTTTTGTAAGCAGGTTTGGAGGAAGTATAATACATAATTATCAATTTACCTATAAAAATTATATAAATCTTATATGTTTTAATAAAAAAATAAACAAGAATATATGATAGTTGAGGAAGTTACGCTCATGAAGAACCTTAGAAGATGGCAAACCTGCAGGAAACAATTCACAATGTCAACGGTGAGACTAGGGGAAGGACATGTACGGAAATACCGCACGGCCACCCCCAACCATGGAGGGAGATTATCACGTCATGCTTTCTTATAGTCATGAAATATTATAGTAGTTTTATATTTTGTTAACAATTTTTTTAAAGATAAATTAAAACTGCGCAATTTGAACTATTTTCTCTAAAAAAATCATTACAAAAAAATAAAAATTGCATGATTTCGTGATTATGCTACACATTACCAAATTTTATTTTATTTTATCTAGAAATTAATTATCAAAAATTAGAAAGAATGGGCATTACAAGAAGCGTCAGGTAAGTAGTATTGAAAATCAAACTTACCAATTAACCAGTTGAGACAATGGTTCAAGGTGAGTAATATAAATCAAAGTCAATTTAAGGTTAAATCGGTCATTTAAAACAATATAATTTAATCAAGGGTTAAGGGGTAAATTTACACTGAAAGTTTTTACTAAGAAGGGCTGGGCACATGAAAGTTTTTTTTTTTTAATGCAAATTTACTTCTAAAGTTTAAAATCGTAGTAATTTTGTCCATTATTGTTAGAAAACTATTGTTAACCGTTAAAATGGTGACATTCATTGTTAATATTTTTAAGGTCAGGGACAAAACTGTGATTTGTAACTTTCATGGTAATTTTGTATCTAAAAATAACTTTTAAGTGCCCAGCATTTCTAAGTAAAAACTTTCAAGGTTACACCTTAACTTATTTAGTTAAAATATATAAAAATATTTATATATAACTTTGAAAAATGTAATATTTAAATAAAAGGCATTAATTCACAAATAAATGGAGTATTCATATATAAATCTTGCATAGTCCACCAAAAGAGTTAGCAAAACACAAATGTGATGGACTATTCTTTTTGTTTAAAAAAAAAAAAGACTCAAAACAATGCTGTTTTAAGCTTAATCATGAAAGGAAAAAAAAATAAAGAAAATCCAACACGGTCAATCAATTCAAAACTCTTAATCAGACTTGTTAGAAAATTGGTTAATTTACTAGTTTACTAGTCTGGCCTACCAAATCGGGTTGGGTTTTCATCTCCAAACCTACGACAATACATCTTACTCTTGGAAAATTCACTCTACTTTAGGGATATCCAAGGTGTGACTCATTATAAAATCACTTGGACTAATAAGGCACCTAGATATTAGATGTTAAAGCTTACAACGACAGGTGCTGTTTCCATTGGTTTAAAATAAGTGTTTTTGCATTTTACAACATAAAATTCCTCACATATTTATTTTGTAAAACGCAAAATCATTCGTTCAGGTCTAATCTAAACGGGCACGATGGACCTAAAAGTATGTTAAAACATTAACATTATATAGACCAAAATAAGTCCTAGCTATTATTTTAATTTCATAACTTACTTGTATAAATTAAAATAAAAAAATAAGTAAAAGAGTAAAGTGGATTATATAATATGAGTTCGAGACATTACCTGCAAGAATGCCAGAGAGAAATGCTGCAAAGGGAATTTTGCAGAAGGCAAATGCGAAAGAAAGTGATGCTCTTCGCTATTGTTATCAAAGTACTAAAAATCAGAACAGTTACTAAATCGGTTAAAATAATATGTTAAGAGTCAATGAGTCCGAACCCTGACGATTATATTATCTGGCTAAGACTATTCTAGCTTAACCACAGGTCTTGTGTTTGAGACGTGCGAATACAGCATCTTAGGGGCCAGGGGCACACCAACCTTGATGGTTCCTGTCATGCCTCGATCCGGATTAGTCTGGTGCCGTTGATGTGCCTTAAAGGTGGCCTACCCCAGGACACCGGATGCGAAAGCAAAAAAAAAAAAAAAAAAGAGTTAGTGAGTCAGACCGGAGTTAATGCAAGGAGTCAAACCAGTGAGAAATAAAAACAATAAAAAATAATTTAAATTTTTATTCAGAACTAAATGTCAATTTAGTACTTTGAATCACTAATAAAATAATCACATATTTAGAATTTCTTTTCAACTTTTTCGCAATTTCTTTGACAAATTAAAATCATAATATCATACTACTAAAATCATTAAATATTCATCCCATCAAAATATCAAAATAGATATATGATAACAAAATATTTCTTGCTATAGTCATTCAATCACTAAGTCTTAATTATGAACAACTTAAAAAAATCATCAAAATAGTTTTTTTATTGAAAAAAAAGAAAGCAAACCTAGTTAACCCATCAACCTGGTCAGATTATTACCTCAAGTTGATCCAAGTCATGTTAGGTCAATTCAACCTCAGTTTCTATCCTTAACTTGACTGGTTACTAAGCCAGTTCACTGATTTTTGGATTGAACTGGCCAGTCCGGTCCGAGTTTTAATACCATGATCATTACAATTCAGATAAAATGAATATTGTCTTGTATACAATCAGTCAACGTCTTGAGTTTTTAGATGCTTTTGGATAATAAATTTTGCAATAAGAATTTTTCAGCATTTTTTCCATATAAATGTGTGTATTATTCTTAAGAAAACATTAGAACCCAAGAAGTGCTTACATAAGAAAAAAGCAT